TTACCATCAACTCAGAAATTCCTCTACACCAGGTTAGCTGAGTGTGTGAACCAGTGGTGAAATCCAATTTTTTTAACTACTGATTCTGTGGGCGTGGCTTGGTGAGCGTGGTGTGGCTTGGTGGGTATAGCTTGGTGGGCGTGGCAGGGGAAGGATACTGCAAAATCTCCATTCCCACCCCACTCTGGGGCCAGCCAGAGGTGGTATTTGCCGATTCTCCGAACTGCTCAAAATTTCTGCTACTGGTTCTCCGAACTGCTCAAAATTTCCGCTACCGGTTCTCCGAACTGCTCAAAATTTCCGCTACCGGTTCTCTGAACTGCTCAAAATTTCTGCTACCAGTTCTCCAGAACCTGTCAGAACCTGCTGGATTTCACCCCTGGTGTGAACCCTGCTAATGCGGCTTATTCAATCAGCAAACCATGGCTTCGTTTAAAATGTGGACCGAGGCACAGATTTGGATATTGCTTTCTAAGATCTCTCCCGATTTGGGGGCGATGTAAAAACTTTGAACCAACCATCTTTGGCTCTCTGTCATGGAACCCTGAGGTGGGTTGATGCAATTACAGAAGTGCAGACTTACGACTATAATTCGATGCTCGATCACGGTCGTAATGAAGAATGACCTGTAAATGCAACTACAGCTCATAAACAAATGCACCGTTTGCAAGTCTTTCAACACCGTTGCGTTTCTGTGCCTCATGTGGAGTTGCTGGTGTGGTCTTGGGTTAGACTCTGCAGCACAAATGCTTCTGGAAACGAGAAGCTGCATTGCCAAAGGATGCCAAGTACTGATCCAATTTGCATCTGTTTCCATAGCAACTTCCCGGGGCTTTCTGATACTCCATCTTCTTAACACCAGATGATGGTGGAAGGTTTGCTTCTTCTAGCAAACAACAACAACAACAAAAAAGCTTTGCTATTTTTTCCTAGGTGAACCATTTCCCCTCGCTCTCCCCCAGAAATAAGGTACCCCCAAAACTCAAGATAGACTTCTCCAAGCTGAGCCACCCAAGAACTCATTTTTATTTTTTATTTTTTTTACTTTTTCCTCCCAGTTAACGTGTTCTGGTGTCAATCTCTGTGCTACCTCCCACACAGGACCAGTACTTCCGCCCTTCATCTGTCAAAAGGGAAGAAATGGATGAATCTTAGTGACTGGTAAAATGAGAATCTATTCCTGGTTTGAAAGCTGGAATCAATGAAGGCAGGCGGGGTTTTGGGGGGGTTTTCTTTTCTTTCTTTTTTTTTTTTTTTTGCAGATCAGTAGATACCCTTCAGTCTGAAACTCCTACCTTTAAAACTTCCAGTCTTGTCAGTTCTATCTTCTCCCCAATGATTGATCTTTCATCATTATCTTGTTGTTGTTACTTGCGAAGTCGTGTCCGACCCATCGCAGCCCCATGGACAACATTCCTCCAGGCCTTCCTGTCCTCTACCATCCTCTGGAGTCCATTTAAGCTCACGCCGACTGCTTCAGTGACTCCATCCAGCCACCTCGTTCTCTGCCGTCCCCTTCTTCTTTTGCCCTCCATCGTTCCCAGCATTAGGCTCTTCTCCAGGGAGTCCTTCCTTCTCATTAGGTGGCCAAAGTATTTGAGTTTCATCTTCAGGATCTGTCAGGGTTGATCTCCTCTAGGATTGACTGGTTTGACCGCCTTGCAGTCCAAGGGACTCGCAGGAGTCTTCTCCAGCACCAGAGTTCAAAGGCCTCAATTCTTTGGTGCTCAGCCTTCCTTATGGTCCAACTTTCACAGCCAGACATTGCAACTGGGAAAACCATCGCCTTGACTATGCACACTTTTGTTGGCAGGGTGATGTCTCTGCTTTTTAGTATGGTATCTAGATTTGCCATAGCTTTCCTGTTACCAGATTAGATCATTGGTCCTTCAAGTTGATTTGTGGATGCTGAGTTGAAGCCCACGCATCTTAATTTCCTGAGGTTGAGAAACACTGATGTAGCATCTTAACCATTATACCCGCCTGATTCTTCCTGTTGATTGGAAGAAGGCCAAAGCTTGGGGGTTGAACCCAGCACCGTCTCCATGTCAGGATAATGCGTTCCCACCACTGAGAAGGGTTTCCTTCATGGATTGCTGGCCTGCAAGATTGATTCTTGGGCTCCGTTGTTTGCTTTTAGTTCCCCGGTCTAGGAAGACAAGTTTCAGCTTCTCTCCACAACTTCCTGCAAAGTCACTTGAGGCTGGAGCTGAGCCATTTGCAAGAACCACTAGGACAAACAGGTCAATGTAGAGTGATGGGGTCATCACGATTGTTGATGGCAGCGTTCTTCAAGCCTTGGCATCTTGGAAATGTGTGGACTTCAACTCCCAGAATTCCTCCGCCCGCATGCGCACATTTTCAAGTCGTCAAGGCTGAGATACGCTGGTTTTTATGGACTGAAAATTAACTAGGGGTGTTGGAGTTAACATTAGTGGTCCCTCCGGTTTAGTTCAGAAGTGGAATGCTAGGTTCGGTCCCTGAAGGTCCTGGGTCTCCAAGGATGTCCACCACAACAGATTATCCAGCAACTCTAACCGGGTGCGGAGAATTGCTGCTAGAACCGACCCATTGGAGGAGCTGTTCCATAGAACTCAGCAGCGCTAAGGCCAGAAAAAGCAAATAAATAAGGAAATGCTGGCAGGGACTGATGGGGATTTGTAGTCCAACCTAGGGGTCTCCAACCTTGGCAACTTTACGACTTGTGGACTTCAACTCCCAGAATTCCTGGGAGTAGAAGTCCACAAGTTGTAAAGTTGCCAAGGTTGGAGACCCCTGGTCCAACCCATTAGGAGGGCCATGGTGGTTAAGTGGTTAGAATGTAATATCACAGGCTAACTCTGCCACTCTGCCAACTGTCAGCAGTTCGATTCTCACCAGGCTCAAGGTTGACTCGTCCTTCCGTCCTTCCGAAGTCGGTCAAACGAGGACCCAGATTGTTGGGGAGGGGACATAGGCTGACTCTCTAAACCGCTTAGAGAGGAGCTGTAAAGCACTATGAAGCGGTATATAAGTCTAAGTACTATTGCTATTGCCCTTCCTTCCTCCCTCCCTCTCTCCCTCCCTCCTGGTTAGAATGCAATATTGCAGGCTAACTCTGCCCACTGCCAGCAGTTCGATCCTGACAGACTCAATGTTGACTCAGCCTTCCATCCTTCCGAGGTCGGTCAAATGAGGACCCAGATTGCTGGGGGCAATAGGCGGATCCTGTAAACCGCTTAGAGAGGGGCTGTAAAGCACTATGAAGCAGTATATAAGTCTAAGTGATATCGCTATTGCCTTTCCTTCCTCCCTCCCTCGCTCTCTCCCTCTCTCCTGGTTAGAATGCAGTATTGCAGGTTAACTCACTGCTCACTGCCAGCAGTTCGATCCTGACAGGCCTCAATGTTGACTCAGCCTTCCATCCTTCCGAGGTCGGTCAAATGAGGACCCAGATTGTTGTTGGGGGCCAGGGCATAGGCCGACTCTGTAAACCGCTTAGAGAGGGGCTGTAAAAGCACTGCGAAGCGCTATATAAGTCTAAGTGCTATTGATCTCAGCCTTCCATCCTTCCCAGGTCGGTCAAACGAGGACCTAGATTGGTTGGGAGGGGGGCAAGATGTTGACTTTGTAAACCGCTTAGAGACGGTATAGAAGTGCGATTAGAGTGAGGAAGGCTGCCGGGAGGAGGGGGCTCCCCTGAGAACTCTTGCTCCTCGCGGCTCACGGGGCGGTGTGTGTGTGTGTGTGTGTGTGTGTGTGTGTGTGTGTGTGTCCCCTTCCAATCTAACAACCCCCCTCTCCCTCCTCCCCCCCTCCAAGTCCCACCCAGGGAAATCCTAGGTCATTTCGATGTGGCTGAACGGGTGCCTTGAATCCGGAGTCCGTTGGGTTCTTGTTGGCCATCGCCATCCTTGCTTGCCCCCGAGGATGATGGCTTACACCGTGGGTGGGGGAAGTGGGGCACCCACCTGGGACGACAACAGCAGCACCCACCCCCCTCCCACCTTCGGATTCCTCCCACCGGAGCCGCCCCGCGTGGGAAACGGGGGAGGGGGCTGGGATGGAGAAAGGAAAGAAAGCGCTCTGCACGTGCTCCTCAGCCCTCTTTCAGGAGGCGCTGGTTTACAGCAGCAGCAGCGAGTTCGATCCCGGGTGCGGGCGGCTCGTCCCCGGTTTTTCTCCCGCGCGTGTCCGCTCTCGAGGAGGGGTGGGGCCGGCGGAGATTCCCCCCTCCTCCTCCTCCTCCCCTTCCCACCCCCCACCCACCCCCGTGGTTCGTTCCCGGCCCGCCTGCCCGCGGGCGGGGGTAAGGAGCGACGGCGATGCGGCGGCGGCGAATCCAGCGGCTCGGAGCTGGGCAACAGCTGAGCGGCGGAGCCCCGACGGAGGTCGCTCGGCTCCAAGCTCCGCACCGCGATGCTCCACGGCTTTCCTCCATCGCCGCCGCCGCCGCCGCAATAACAGCAGCATCAGCAGCAGAAGCATCGCCTGGCCAAGATGGGCAACTCCCCGCCGGTGATGCTGGGGAAGACGCCGCGCGGGAAGCGACCCCAGCGGACCGCCGCCGTCTCGCCTTCCTCTTCCTCGCCGGCCACGCTGGCGGAGGCCCCAACAGGTAAGAGTCGGACAGGTGTGTGTATGTGGGGTGGGGGGTGGGGAGAAACCCGCCTTCAGCCTTTTGCAGAATCACCTGGAGCCTTTGCGAGTGTGATTGTGTCTCTCTGTGTGTGTGTGTGTGTGTCGGACTACACTTCCCATCATCCGACGCCCCAGGTTGGGGAAGGGCCGCCGTGCGCCTTTCTTCCCCTCCGAGGGCGGCGGAGGGATGGGAGACTTTCTCGGGCGTGGGAAGTTCAAAGGGACCGGGGTTTCGAGGAAGGTTGGGCTCCAAAAGCCCCTTCCCCACGTTCACAAGACCCAGGTCAGGAATGGGATGGGCGTAGGGAGAAAGGGTGGGGGTTAAACCTCGTACCTGCCGGCTTGCACAGCGCTTCCCCCCCCCCCGTTCCAAGGCATATTATTTACCCCCTCCCCGTTTCCTCCCACCACCCCAGAAATCTTGCCCGGCTTAGCGAATGTCGGAACGCAGGGAGCGTGTTGTGAGAATCGGAACAAACCAGGATGGTGTGACCGCCTTTGAAAAGCTTTTTGCCCTTAGGAAGAAGGTCAGGAGGAGGATGCTGAAAAAGGAAGACCTCTGGATGCTTCTTGCAGGCCTGAAGGCAAATTGGGGACCAGGGCTCTTAGCTACAGAGAGGAGGTGATGGAGATAAAGAGGTGGGGGGGGAGAGAGAGAGAGAGAGAGAGAGAGAGAGAGAGAGAGAGAGAGAGGAGGAGGAAATTAACTCTTTATTTCCCTGGATTGCTTTTCCAGAATTCTCTTTCCTCCAAGGCCAAATGGTCCATGGGATGTACTAGCTGGGATCCACCAGGGATACAATCCTAACTGGATGCAATAGCTGGGTTTGCTACCTTTAAAAGGTGATGAGTTTTGTTGGCTATTGCATCACAAATCCAGAAACTCAGAAACTCTGGGGCGATTGCATTGCAAATCCAGAAAATTTGGGGTTGTTGCATCGCAAATCCAGAAAACCTGGGGCTATTGCAATGCAAATCCAGAAATTTTGGGGCTGTTGCATCACAAATCCAGAAACTCTGGGGCTGTTGCATCGCAAATCTAGAAACTCTGGGGCTGTTGCATTGCAAATCCAGAAACTCTAGGGCTATTGCATCGCGGTTTACCGATCTTCTGACTTAACATGTTGTGTGAACGCAGCTATAGGAGTTTCAATTTAAGAAGCAGAGATTGGCGTGTTCCTTGCCCTTCCAAGATGCCTGAAAATAATCGCACCCCGCAGCCATAAAACGGGAACACATTGTATCCTCAAGATGGCCCATCTGTTGTGTGATGCCTGCGTTTTCGCATCCTTATAGACTTTTAAAGCATTGAAAAGAATTGGGAAAGATGTTCCTCAGATTTTACACCCCACATTCTGGTTTCTTTCTTTTTCTTTTTTTAAACTGATATCCTGCAGAGCTGATTTGCATATCTGCCTCCATCCTTCTTGTCTGGAAAGAGTGAACAGGTTGAGAGTCTCATCATACTTTCTATAGAAAAGTGATGATTTTATACATATTTTAAGTACCAGTCCCTTTTTTTTGCTACATAGTTCATTAAAACCATGTTAAATATTGTATTTATCTCATTCAATGGTGTCTGATATTTGGAGATTGCCTATAGACATATATCCCTGTAGTTTCCAAGGCAAGGTTTTTTCCCTAAAGTAGTTTGCCATTGCCTCGTTCCTAGGGCTGAGAGAAAGTGACTGGCCCAAGGTCACCTATCAAAGGTGAAACTAGAACTCACAGTCTCCCAGTTTCTAGCCTGGTGCTTTTAACCCTTACCCCAAACCGGCTCTTGTGTTTAAATCTAAGGGGATACATATGACGGGAATTAAATCCCGTGGCAGTCCCTGAGATATACATCAGAATAAGTTCAACCTTGTAGCAAGGAAAACGCAGTTCTGTGCAATCTGGGAGAGCTAAACTGGGTTTAATCTGCCTTTTTTAAAATTTATCCCTGCCTTGCTTCTGGGAATAGGACAAGTCTCCTTCAAGATGAGCCTTGATCATTTCATGAAAGTAGCCATGTCATTTTTTTTTTTTGTTTTGTCTGCAACACAAAAAGGAGGCTGCTTTATCTACAACGTTTTCTCTTGACTTTCCTGCTTAGCCTATAGCTCTGAGCTTTTTCTTGAGGTCTCCCATTCAAACATTCACCAAACTCCGCTCTGCTTAACCGCTGAGATCGCCTGCTGGTCCCTCCATTTGCAATTTCTTCCCCTTTCAAGGGTGTTTGAAAGTAACCGTTTCCCTTTACCTGGTGCTAGGAAGGTCCTGTATCGCTAATCTTTGGCTTCCGGCCACAGTTTTGGAGTGGAATTTTGGTTGCTAAGCAACGAAGCCATTGAGGAAGTCATCACATGACCGGACCCAATGTTATGACCATTTTTCATCATGCTTGTTAAGCAGATCGCCTGCTCGTTAAGTGACTCGCATGGTCTTCAAGTCAACCTAGCTTTACCAGTCGACTGCTTTTTTTTTTGGGAAACTGGCTGGGAAGGTTGCAAATCAGGATCACGTGGCTGTAGGATGCCAGCCAATTTGCCAAACACCGTGTGACTGTGAAGGTGGTGTGACGGTCATGATTTCAACTTAAGAGGTCCTGAATCACTTTTCCTGGGGCCCGTTGTAACTTCAAACCATTGTTAAACGAATGGTCATAAGTCTAGGACTACTACCTGTACTGAAATACGTTCGGTCTTTTGCAATCTTCAGTCTTGAAATCTGTTGGAACAGGAAGAGTTACTGCAGATTCTAGCTCAGTGATTACCGAGTGCCGAAACTGGAACATGCATTATTTATTATTATTATTATTATTATTATTATTATTATTATTATTATTATTATTATTATTAATAATAATAATAATAATAATAATAATAATAATAATAATTAATTAATTAATTAAATTTTTATACCACCCTTCTCCCGAAGGACTCAGGGCGGCGAACAGCCAAGATTAAAATACATACAATATGAATAATTTAAAACATAATTAAATCAATTTGGCTTCCCCAATTTAAAACCCCTTACCCATAAAATTAACCAGTTAAAAATTTTCAGCCAGCGCGGCTTGCTGAAATAGAAAAGTCTTCAGGGCCCGGCGGAAAGTACGGAGGTCCGGGATCAGTCGTATCCCTGGGGGTAGCTCATTCCAGAGGGCGGGTGCCTCCACCGAGAAGGCTCTCCCCCTGGGGGCCGCCAGTCGACATTGTTTGACCGACAGCGCCCTGAGGAGGCCCTCTCTGTGGGAGCGTATTGGCCGGTGGGAGGTTATCGGTGGCAGAAGGTGGTCTCGTAAATACCCAGGCCCTAAGCCATGGAGCGCTTTAAAGATGAGAATCTTCATGAGAAGATGATGCATGCGTGTACCGGAGCACTGGAACTGGGAAGAGAGCAGCTGGCGGTATGCATGTGCACCAGCCAACTGCTGTCTTCCAGGTTCTGGGGCGCGCGTGCGCTCCAGACAGCTGGTCCAGCTGGCCGGTGCACATGCGTGCGCCGGAACCCAAAAAAGAGCAGCTGGCCGGCACGCATGCATGTGACAGAACCCGGAAGAGCAGCTGGCAACAGTGAGTGTGCCCACAGAGAGGGGTCTGTATGCCACCTCTGGCACCTGTGCCATAGGTTTGCCATCACGGTTCTAGCTACTTATTCCAAATAGATGTGAGGATTTCCTGCCAGGATATCATTGTTCCATCTATCATCTTTTTGTGTCGGGAGAAATAGTATGGTATAGTGCAGGGGTCAGCAACCTGTGGCTCTGGAGCCACATGCGGCTCTTTGGGCCCTCTGCTGTGGATCCCTGTCAGTGATCCCACCACTGGCTGGCCCCGCCCCTCGCCCTCCCCTCCCAGTCACTCCTCGCCTGGCCTGAGTAGGTAAGGGCGACGGCAGAGGATGGAGAAGTGGCCAGGGCAGAGAGAGAGAGATACAGAGAGAGGACGAGAGAGAGAGAGACGTATAGAGTTACACAGAGAGTGGGAGAAAAAGAAATGTCAAAAGGGTTTTGTGGTTCCAGGTGTTTTTTATCAACTGGTTCTCTGCCCTAATGACTGGCTGGGTAGGCTGGGGGGGGATCATGTGACTGGTGGAAGTGAGGGACATTGAATTGGCCACACCCACCCAGGTTTTGTGGTTCCCGGTGTTTTCTTTTCTGTGGGAAATGGGTCCAAATGGCTCTTTGAGTGCTTAAGGTTGCAGACCCCTGGTATAGTGGTTAGAATGCAGGCGGAAGGGTTTTTTTCCTCCTGTATTTTGAGAAAGTGGTGTATTTTGAGAAGACGAGGAGGTTATTCCTTCTCCTCTTCTCTTCTGTCTCATCTTTTCATCTTCCTCCTATTGGTACCGTAGGATTTATCACTTGTTTGCATCCTGTGGTTTATGATTTGTATCTTACGATGTATGATCTGTTACTTACCACTTTGTCGTCTGTATGTACACTGAGAGCTTATGCACCGGAGACAAATTCCTTGTGTGTCCAATCACACTTGGCAGATGATAAAGAATATACAATTCCAATTTTCGGGAATGGTTCAATATGTTGCCCTAAACCTGTTCGGTAAATTTATGGCTCAATATATTCTGTGAGTGCAGAAAATGGCTTCATTCAGCAACCAAGCTGAACGTGTAGTTTGCCGTTTAGCTGGTGTTGTTAGCTTACACTTCATTGTGTTGAGTGGGTTTGCAAAGGAGGCCATGCAACAACATGCTGTGCAAACACAGTGCTCGTGGTCCCTTAGAAGCAACCAAGTCCACTTCCTTGATGAATGAAATAATCCTGAATTACTGGGTGGATGCAAATATAGGTAGTCCTCAACATACGACTACCACAACTGGTCAAAGTCACAACAGCCTTGGAACAAGTGACTCACGACCTGTATTCTCACTTACAATTGTCACTCCACCCCTGTGTTCACCTGATCACAACTGGGGCCCTTGGAAACCAACTCGCATTTACGATGAAGTGATTTCCAGCAATAATAATAATAATAATAATAATAATAATAATAATAATAATAATAATAATAATAATAATAATAGGGAAAGCTCCCATTGCTTGATTCACTTAATAATGGCTTAATTTTTTTTTTCTTTTTCTTTTAATGAGTCTGTAACCTCTTGTATCAGGGTGGAGTCAGGGTGACTGAATGGAGCTGAGCATTTACTGGCTGGATGCCCTTCCTGACACCTATGCAGAGCTCACAGCAGATATTTTCTCTTTGCGCCCAGACAGAGAAATATCTAAGATCGAACCCACAGCTTCCTGATCGTGAAGCGAGAGCGCCACCTGTAGGCCACCACACTATTCATTTAATAACTGCTTAATAATAGTCATAAAATTGGGTCCAGTTCTGACAATAATTTACAATGAAAATTTCCGTCCCAAGTAAGCCGAGAACTACTAGTCTGTACTTGAGTGTAGAGGGGAAAAAAATTGGATTGAAATGGAAGCACAGGGAGCTGTTTTCTACTGAGCCTCATTCTGACTCATCAAGTTGAATATCCTTAACTCTTGAGTGGGATTTTTCAGCCCAGCTGAGAGATTTCAAGAATGAAACCCTGCTGTAAAACATATTTCTCTGCTGTGAAGCTAGGATTGGTTTGATAGCAAGATACATGGCGGAGGGAAAAAAACTCTAGCGAGTTTTACTAGGTGGTAAAATAAAATTCAGCTGTGCAATGAGGAATCCATCCACAAAACACTCTTGGCCTGGTTACTAACTTAATTTGATTTTCTGAACTTGAACAGCACACATTAGTAGCTGACATTAATACGGAGCTATGGAGGAGTGTTTCTCAACCATATCAGCTTTAAGCTTTGTGCGGACTTCAACTCCCAGAATTCCCCAGCCAGCAATGCAGTCCACACAGCTGGAAATGAATTGATATTGCCCTTTTGCAGGGAGAACTCCTGATGGTCTCCCATCCAGTACTAATCAGATACCCCCATTCAAACCATACTTAATTCTTCTTGGTATCAACCAAGATGTGTTAGATGCTCTCCAGATATTTGAGGGGTGCTCTCTGGGATGATGGCATCCGGCCCTCTCAATTCCTGGCAAATAGATGGGGAAGAAATAGAGGTAGTGATAGATTTTATTTTCCTGGGCTCCCAAATCACTGCAAATGGGGACTGCAGCCAAGAAATGAAAAGACGCTTGCTCCTGGGGAGGAAAGCTATGGCAAATCTAGACAGCGTACTAAAAAGACATCACCCTGCCAACAAAAGTGCATATAGTCAAGGCGATGGTTTTCCCAGTTGCAATGTATGGCTGTGAAAGTTGGACCATAAGGAAGGCTGAGCGCCAAAGAATGGAGGCCTTTGAACTATGGAGCTGGAGAAGACTCCTGCGAGTCCCTTGGACTGCAAGGTGATCCAACCGGTCAGTCCTAGAGGAGATCAACCCTGACTGCTCTTCAGAAGGCCAGATCCTGAGGATGAAACTCAAATACTTTGGCCACCTAATGAGAAGGAAGGACTCCCTGGAGAAGAGCCTAAATGCTGGGAACGATTGAGGGCAAAAGAAGAAGGGGACGACAGAGAAGGAGATAGCTGGATGGAGTCATTGAAGCAGTCGGTGTGAGCTTAAATGGACTCCAGAGGATGGTAGAGGACAGGAAGGCCTGGAGGAATGTTGTCCATGGGGCCGCGATGGGTTGGACACGACTTTGCAACTAACAAAAAGAACTCTGAGCTTGGTTACTTTCTTGCAGACATTTCATTACCCAAATTGGTAACATCATCAGTGCTGGAAGGGAGTGGGGTTTACAACAGATGATGTTTCCTAGTGTAGATAATGAAACATTGTAAGAAAACAACCAAGCTCAGAGAGCATCAAGGACCCCACATTTCAACCCTGAGCTACAAATAGCCTCCTTGATTCTCCCAATATTTCTAAGTAAGGAGAACTCGGAGGGAATCAGCATGCAAAGATAATCCTCATTGTCTACATTGCTATTGTTATTTCTATTGTTATTAGCTTAAGTCGTGCATGCAAATGCACAAATAAGTTCATTCAGAAAACAGAACTGACAAATCACCTGAATGCAGAGGTGAATCCTTGAAGGGGGGTGGGAGGGAGGGAGGGAGGGATCAGGAGCTTGCACCCCCCCTCCTCCAATCAATCACTCACCTTCCTCCCTTTTGTTCCCCTCCATCTCTGAGCCTGGGGCGGTGCCTTTAAGAAGCCTCTTTTGGAAACAAAACTCATCCGAAAGGCATTGGTGGGTAGGTGGGTGGGTGGGAGATTCTGTAAGCTGTTGCCATGGTGCCCGGATGATTGCTTTTAGCCTGCTAATTAGAAGGCAGAGGCAGCAAATCACAAGGTGTTGTGTGAGCAGGATGGCGGAAGTGATGTTCCAGCCGATTGGCTGATGATTGGGGTGGGGAGAGGCTGGCTGTTTATTTTTCCTACCTGCCTCCTGCAGTGCAGGTGAGGGGGATGGAGCTTAAGCCACTACTGGGGTGGTGGGGAGAGAGAGCTGGAAAGACCAGCCAGGCTATGGAAAAAAAAAATATTTGCATGTTGAATCAGAAAAGATGTAAAAGATAATCCCAGCTCGATTCCATTCCCCCCCCCAGCTTTTTTTTAAAAAAAACCCATCAATGTCTGGAAGCTGATTCAGTTTGGTTTTCAACTTCTTTATTTCACCTTTTTATTTCACCAGGCAGGCCTGACCTAATTTTCTCCCTCTTTTATAAAAGAATTTTTAATTTTTAATATGTTTTAGTATTTTATATATTCAAATTTTAAAATTGGTTTTAAATTGATGGGGGTTTTAATTTGTCTGGGCCAAAATTATTTAATTTGATTTTAATTCTGCTTTTTAAATTTTGTATGTATGGATTTTATTGTTGGCTGTTCACCGCTCTGAGTCCTTCGGGAGTAGGGCAGTATATAAATCAAATAAAAGTAAAAAAAAAAAAAAAAGTAAAAAGTAAACTTCTAATGCAGGAGTGTCCAACCTTGGCAATTTTAAGACTGGTAGACTTCAATTCCAGCTGGCTGGCTGGGGAATTCTGGGACTTGAAGTCCACCAGGCTTAAAGTTGCCAAGGTTGGACGCCTCTGTTCTAAGGTGTTTCTATGCAGGACAGGGGGACGGGGTGGCTCAGTGGCTAAGATGCTGAGCTTGTCGATCGAAAGGTCGGCAGTTCGGCGGTTCGAAACCCTAGTGCCGCGTAACGGGGTGAGCTCCCGTGACTTGTTCCAGCTTCTGCCAACCTAGCAGTTCGAAAGCACGTAAAAAAATGCAAGTAGAAAAATAGGGACCCCCTTTGGTGGGAAGGTAACAGCGTTCCGTGCGCCTTTGGCATTGAGTCATGCCGACCACATGACCATCTTCAGACAGCGCTGGCTCTTCGGCTTCGAAATGGAGATGAGCACCGCCCCCTAGAGTCGGGAACGACTAGCACATATATGCGAGGGGAACCTTTACCTTTACCTTTTTATGCAGGACAGAGAGCCCAGAACGGAGGGATTCCAGCATCCTTTTGAATCTAGCGGTGCCAAAGAATTTTGATCTCCTTTCTCTGCTTTGTTCAGGCTTGAAGAGAGGGATATCGGTTGGCTTCGGAGGTGCCAAAGTTGGCTTCCGGTGCCAAGGAATTGCACAAGCCCTTCCTTCCTTGGGAAAGTCGGAGGGCTATCCTTCTTTTAATTTCTTGGGATTTAGGAATGAAGGTTAAAGACACTGAACTTGTCAGCCGGAGAGATGACAGCCTGGGTTCGAGACCTGAGCACAGTGCAAGCCCGGGTGAGCTCCCGTACCTTTGCTCCAGCTCCTTCCCACCTAGCGGTTCAAAAGTAGGCAAATGCGAGTAGATAAATAGGTACCACTTTGGTGGGAAGGTAACAACGTTCCGTGCGCCTTTTACGTATAACCATGCTGGTTACATGACCAACGAAATTGTCTTCGGACAACACTGGCTCCCTCAGCTCCTAAGAAAGGGAGATGAGCACTATGCCCTAAAGTCGGATGTGACTGGATAGGGGAAATCTTTACCCTTATCTTTTAGGAATGAAGGGTGTGGCAAGGACCCTTTGCAGATGGCCAGGGACTGAGAAAGAGAAGCAGGGTTTGCAATGTAGTTTCTTTCTCTCTGTCTCTCTGTCTCTCTCTCTCCTAATTTGATTTTGTTTGAGTCCCAACTTTGCACCGATGCTCTGTTGGGGTGCAGCATTCCAGGGACGTTGCGTTCCCATGTAAGAAAACAGGAAAAAGAGAGGAAAAAAAACAACAACACGAATGCAATTCATACCATCATCTCCAGCCCCGAGTGGCCCTCCCATTTCTACATTTTTCCCCCCCTTTCCCAAATCCCTCTTAAATCTATAGTCCTCAACGGAGTGGAATGTGAAGTTTGTTCATTTTACAATAAGTTTTAAGTACAGGATCGGGGATTTAAAAGCTCTGCTGAGCATTTCCGCGCTATTAAAAAAGAAATCAAGTTTCTAGCCCTCAAGGCTGGTGAAAACAAGCCTTTAAAAAAAAAAAAAGCACGCAGGACATTTCTAGTGAAATCCCGGAAGCCGAAAAGGAAGGGAGTTGCAACGAATCAGGATTTCCAGCAATCTGAAGGCATGAAGGAAGGAGAGATTGAACATATATAGAGAGAGAACTCTGCGGCTGTTTTTATGAAATACCTACAGCCTTGGGCACATACCTCAAAATTCATTTCTGCAAAGATAGGAGGTGGGTGGGGGAAGGACATTTTTTCACTAAGAGCCTTGGGCCATGCATGATTACTAAGCAGTCAAGGAATGGCTTTGCTCCAGGGAGGTGTTTTCCTTGCAGTGATTAAACTCCCGATTGCCAGAAAGAAGTTTTCAGCAATTGAATTCCTTCCCTCTGGAGAACAATCCTGATTCTACATTCACCACAATCTGCTCTGTATGTGTGTGTGTGTGTGTGTGTGTGTGTGTGTGTGTGTGTAGACTCCCATGGTTGGAGAGTGAAAGAAGAAGCATTTGGGGGTATCCACTACCCTCACAGTTCCTCCTTTGCTAGCCTGTTTGGATACCAAAACCCATCCCAGCTCTTCTTGCTAGCTTCTAAATCATTTCTCCAGCTAAGTGGAGTAACGTAGAAAGCTCCAAACCAACAGCGCACAGAATGGCTTGGCTCAATATATGGATGCAATTGTGAAGAGTTGCAAATCATGGTTTTACAACTTTAACCTGGATGCAAAACCCATCCATTATGAATAGAATAGAATAGAATAGAATAGAATAGAATAGAATAGAATAGAATAGAATAGAATAGAATAGAATAGAATAGAATAGAATAGAATTAGAATAGAATAGAATAGAATAGAATAATAGAATAGAATAGAATAGAATAGAATAGAATAGAATAGAATAGAATTTTTTATTGGCCAAGTGTGATTGGACACACAAGGAATTTGTCTTGGTGCATATGCTCTTGGTACATAAAAGAAAAGATACGTTCATCAAGAATCATAAGGTACAACACTTAATGATAGTCATAGGGTACAAATAAGCAATCAGGAAACAATATCAATATAAATCGTAAGGATACAAGCAACAAAGTTACAGTCATAAGTGGAAGAAGATGGGTGACAGGAACGATGAGAAGATTAATAGTAATGCAGACTTAGTAAATAGTTTGACAGTGTTGAGGGAATTATTTGTTTAGCAGAGTGATGGCATTCGGAAAAAAACTGTCCTTGTGTCTAGTTGTTCTGGTGTGCAGTGCTCTATAGCGTCGTTTTGAGAGTAGGAGTTGAAACAGTTTATGTCCAGGAGGCGAGGGGCCTGTAAATATTTTCACAGCCCTCTTTTTGACTCTTGCAGTATGCAGGTCCTCAATGGAAGGCAGGTTGGTAGCCATTGTTTTTTCTGTAGTTCTAATCCTCTGAAGTCTGTGTCTGTCTTGTTGGGTTGCAGAACCAAACCAGACAGTTATAGAGGTGCAGATGATAGACTCAGAGTAGAGTAGAGTAGAGTAGAGTAGAGTAGAGTAGAGTAGAATAGAATAGAATAGAATAGAATAGAATAGAATAGAATAGAATACAGAACAGAACAGAACAGAACAGAACAGAACAGAACAGAACAGAACAGAATAGAATGCAAAGTAACACCCTACTTGAGGCCAGAATGCTTCTAGGGTTCAAACCGTGCTGTTTCTCAAAAATCAAAATATAGAGAAGAGAAAGAGAAAAGTAAAGTCTTACACTTAGGTAAGAAAAACCAAAAGCACATATATAAACTGTGGGAAACCAGGCTTAATAGCAGTGACTGTGAGATGGATCTTGGAGTCTTAGTGGATAATCAGCTAAATACGAGCCAGCAGTGTGCGGTGGCAGCTAAAAAAGCTAATGCAATCCTAAATTGCATTAACAGAGGGATACAATCAAGATCAAGGGAGGTACTAATACCATTCTATAAAGCCCTAGTAAGACCATACCTAGAATCCTGCATCCAGTTTTGGTCACCACACTATAAAAAAGATGATGAGACTCTAGAAAGAGTCTCAGAGAAGAGCAACCAAAATGATGAGGGGACTGGAGACTAAAACATATGAGGAACGGTTGCAGGAACTGGGCATGGCTAGTCTAGTGAAGAGAAGGACCAGGGGAGACATGATAGCAGCCTTCCAATATTTGAGTGGCTGCCACAGAGAGGAGGGGGTCAAGCTATTTTCCAAAGCTTCTGAAGGCCAGACAAGAAATAATGGATGGAAACTGATCAGATTCAACCTGGAAATAAGGAGGAAATTTCTGACATTGAGAGCAATCAACCCATGGAACAGAAGTTTGCCTTCAGAAGTTGTGGGTGCTTCATCATTTGAGACTTTCAAGAAAAGATTGGACTGTCATTTGTCAGAAATGGTGTAGGGTCTCCTGCTTGAGCAGGGGACGGGGTTGGACTAGATGACCTACAAGGTCCCTTCCAACTCTGTTAATCTGTTAAATCACGGCCGACTTTCTGGCCAGCTCAGAATCTGCCCCGGCTTCCCTCTTGTCGCTAGGAAGGAAGACGGGACAAGGCAATGACAATGAGCAAGCCGGAGTTGACTCAAAACATCCAAGTCCTGGCGATTTCCTCTCTCTCCGGCCAGGGGCCGCTGAACGTGGGGGAGGGTGTTGAGCAGGCTCCGGCAGGGGAACAAAAGGGACAACTCCCTCACTGGCTCAAGAGGTGGGAGAGTGACCCATCTAGAACAGGGGCTGCTCTGGCTGATATTTCCTTGGGTTGCTGTAAGCCAAGGTTGGAAGGCAGGAGGTTGCTGCAAAGCGGGGTGCATGCTTAGTGGACTCCTGGAGATTGTGGGTTGCAGCCTGTTGTGCATGCACACGC